TATAAATTATAGTGATACATAATAATTATTATTAAATTTTATTTAAAATTAATATTAAAATTATGTATAATTATTATATATTATATTTTATAGTGATACTTTTTATATTTTTATGTATAATGTTTATTGTTTTTCACCTTTTGATCATAAAAATGTAACATGGAAACTACCTACGAAATAAAATTTAAATGGATACCTTTTCTTCCACTTTGTCACAAAGACCCGTCTATTTATCTACAATAACTCGTAAACATAGAACTCCACAATATCTCTTTTGTGGATAAGGATGAACCCTAGCTACGTCACACTCGCACGACCGGTTCTTTCTTCAAAGGAGAACAAGAAGACACTAGTACAAAATATGAAATTTACGTCATTATTTTATTGTCGGACAAAAAAAAATTTGATGTTAAAAAAATGTGGTAGTATTTTTGTAATTATAATCAAGTTTTTTATGTTGGACCTTATAGGGGTCGACGTAAATTTGAAAATCTATGTCAGATATTACTTGTGCTCGACGTAAATTTTCCAATTTACGTCAGTCCTTATGAGGTCCGACGTAAAATATCTATAAATTTCAAATTTTTTCGCGCGCGTCAATATTTAAACAACATAACTTTGAGTCTATGTGCAAATCAAGTCTTCTGAGTTAAAATTTTGTTTGAATGTATTGCATCTGAGTGTACGTTTGGACGTTTGGGTGGTTCTTGAGTTTTTGACCGATTGCATTGGACTCGCGTTTGAGGTTAGTTTGGAAAATCCTTTCTTAATATATTAGCTAATTTGTTGAAAATAAATGTATGTATTGATCTATTAATATATTAGTTAATATTATCCTCTTCTTCGCGTTTGGGTAGGTCATCCTTTGTTAATATATTAGTTAATATCAAGTAGAAAATTCTTCGTGTTTGGGTGGATCTCCAAGTAGAACGGACCGTTCTCTATGCAAAACGGCCCGTTCTGCTTGCACTCGTTATGTTTTTTTTTGTTTATAACTTTTTTACGTCGATTCTTGTAAATGTCCGATATAAATTTACGTCGACGTAAATTTACATCAACGTAAATTTATGTCGACTATCACAACTGACGTAAATTTACATCTTTCAGATTAATGTCGGACCTTTTACTAGAACATCTTTCATTTAGGGTTCTTATGGCATGGCAAAGTGAAAAAATAAATAAAATTAATTAAAATATGACATGGCAAACTGAAAAATGTTAGACAATGTCACATAATAGACGTTACTTACAGAATTAGCTAGGAGGACTGGCTTCAGTGTGTTTAATTTTTTAAAGAGACTAAAAAATTACAAAAAGAAAAAAAAAATAGGAGGATGAAAGTTGATTTTGAAAAATTTTAGGAACCAAAGTCAGTTTTACCCATATAATTATTTGAATGTCCAAATTAAATGTATTTCTCAAAGGAAGAAAAAAAAAAAAAAGCAATTTTCCTTTCCACCAATGTAATTTTTGGCAAAATTATATAAGAACAATGCCCCTATTCTAGATGAATGATGAAAACGAAATAGTTGGTTGGAAGAGAAGCCATTATGAATTTATGATTCAACCTACCATGAATCACACCTACACAATTTTGTGAATATTCCAAGTCGTCATTTCCAAAATTAATTTTCCCTTTAGGATTTTGCGTTCAGGAAACTCCTAGAGTTTTTTTCTTAACAAAAATAACATGAAAATAAATGCAGATAAGGTTTGGTAGCAAGTCATCATAAATACCCATATTTAGTAGTTTGAAAACAGTAGGAAATCTCCCACTAATAGAATTTTTTTTTATTCAGTTGCATCTCCTTTTTAAATTAACCATCCTAGTTCACTAAATTAAAAATTAATCTCATTTATAATAATATTGTGACTGTCGTTAATTTAACGACTTTTTTTTTAATATAATGAAGATCAAATATAATATTTTTACTATATATAAATTGTTTTTACAATGTATGAACTTAATCGCTTATGACAACCTATATATTAATAGAATGAATTCGGGGTGGGGACTCGAATCCACTCTACATTTTCTTTTCCCTCAATAAAAAAATTTGTTTAGAATTTTTTTTTAAAGATAGGAAAAATTATAAAAATGATTGTAATAAGGATTGATTTTCATGTTTCTAACTATTCCAACCATTCTCCATCTAACCACTAACTAACCCTAGTGGTAATCCGTTTGGAGTTTAGGTATAGGCAATGACGGATCCACATTGAGACTAGTGGGGGCACTTGACCCGTTACTATTTCACACATATATTTTTTTTATTTAAAAAATAATATATTTAAAAAATAAAAAAATTATATTTTAATAAAATAAATATATATGTTTA